CCAGCAGCAAGAAATCGCAAAGCATTTAGAGAGGCATCTCAATAACAAGCAAGGAACAACGGTCCTGCGTACCGGCCCAGCGACAGCCAGTGCTTCTACTTGAGCAACGCGAACTCGCTGAACTGCGAAACCAGCCAACCCGCCACTCTGCAGCCCCTGTGCTACTGCTTGCCGTAACGCTAAAGCGTAGCGGGTCATGTCCGTGCAAGCTCGACCGTGTAGGGTCACAGTTGTTCATAGGTGGCTTGTGGGACAAACTTCTTGTACAGCGCCCTCGGACGGATTGGGTAGAGTCTGGCATTTATATTTTGATAACCCGGTTACTTGTAGTGGCTAGAAAGACAGCCCAGAGGGCTCCAAGCCATCGGCCAGAATGTGGCCAGAACTCGTTTCTGGACATAGGCTAGTTTCCGGCTCTGCCCGCCGGAGGGAGTGTCTGCATTCAGGCAACTGCTGTCAGAGGTAGTGAACGTGACGTGAGCAGTTGGGGAGCGCATCAACTTCAGGCGGAATTAGTAGCAGAGTGCCCACGTGTATCAGGTGTCTTGGTCACAGTTGTTTATAAGTGGCTCGTGGGACAGTGAAGCAGCGTCTTTTGCAGCTCCCCCGGACGGATTGGGTAGAGTCTGGCATTTAACCCCGTTACTTGCAGTGGCTAGAACGGCAGCCCAGATGGCTCCAAGCCATCGGCCAGAATGTGGCCAGAACTCGTTTCTGGACATAGGCTAGTTTCCGGCTCTGCCCGCCGGAGGGAGTGTCTGCATTCAGGCAACTGCTGTCAGAGGTAGTGAACGTGACGTGAGCAGTTGGGGAGCGCATCAACTTCAGGCGGAATTAGTAGCAGAGTGCCCACGTGTATCAGGTGTCTTGGTCACAGTTGTTTATAAGTGGCTCGTGGGACAGTGAGGCAGCGTCTTTTGCAGCTCCCCAGGACGGATTGGGTAGAGTCTGGCATTGTTTATATGTTTATAACCCCGTTACTTGCAGTGGCTAGAACGGCAGCCCAGAGGGCTCCAAGACATCGGCCAGAATGTGGCCAGAACTCGTTTCTGGACATAGGCTAGTTTCCGGCTGTGCCCACCGGAGGGAGTGTCTGCATTCAGGCAACTGCTGTCAGAGGTAGTGAACGTGACGTGAGCAGTTGGGGAGCGCATCAACTTCAGGCGGAATTAGTAGCAGAGTGCCCACGTGTATCAGGTGTCTTGGTCACTGCTGTTTATAAGTGGCTCGTGGGACAGTGAGGCATCGTCTTTTACAGCTCCCTCGGGCGGATTGGGTAGAGTCTGGCATGTAACCCCGTTACTTGCAGTGGCTAGAAAGCCTGGATGGACTTCTAGAATCAAGAACGACACGGGGACATGTTTTGATCATTGTTTGGTCGCGGGACATCCACTGCTACCTGCTATCGATTCCGGCGTCCGTGCCTTGGGACTCACTTCATGAGGAGCCCCAGACCCATAGCAAAATCATGGCTCTGCAGAAAAAAGCATTCTGGGCCTGCTCGTCCTCGGCAGGGGCGATCAAGTTGGCCATGAGAGCATAATGCACCGTAGGCTCAGAGGCTTGCATAGGAAGAGCTGAGCGTGTCGCCGCCTTTTCTCTTCGGGCATGGCCTCCAGATGTTTCGAAGCGACTGCAACGGCCGTCAGTCAGATGTTCTAATTCTAATCACACGAGGAGCCTGACATGCTTCTCTTTCCCCTCTATTCGGGTGTGCCTGTGGCTGTTGGGTCCAGACAAAAGCCGTAAATGAAGCAGTTGTAACACGAAGTTTTGCACGGACTTTTGTCCCGTGATAGCATGCCAATGCTCACAGAACATGCAACCTTTCGGTGTGCGGTTGGGACACTGCACGAGGAAGAGCACAGAAAAGCTTGACCAGTGAATCCACTCCCTCTTTAGGCAGGCGGTGGCGTCGCCAGGCCTGGGCGCCTGCTGGCAGCCGGTTGTGGCAAGTGCTTGTGCCGACACAGCCTTTTGCCATCCCGACACGGGTCATTTCCGCAATCTCTTGTGTACACACGCCGATGAGGGAGCTGTCGCTATTCTTGGCGGAACTGTCGTGAATGCCCGTCAGCCAGGTCGACACATTGTTTGCGTGGAGTGCGACGGACACTCAGGGTAAGTCATGAGTCTTAAAAGACCTTTTCGATTTCGATCGACTCCTCTTGGTCGCATGGCGACAAGCAGTGCCGCTCCGCTGGCACTTGTCATCGCTTCGGATCTTCTCGGGCTGACAAGAGATGTGAGGACAAACTATGGGGGTCTTAGAGGTAGTGCCATGAACGAATTGGTCAAGTTCAGAGCTGTGATGATCCAAAATGAAATGATATGAAATATACGATGTGTAGTTCATTCTCAACGTACCTGTGCTTCGGGCGGTGCGTTGTGCCGACAACAGACATTGCCTTTGCACACAACACCGACACTGCCCACAAGGACAGCACTGGGAGAGTAGTGCAAAACTACTGGAATATGGCGGGGTCGAAGCAGGCGGAACCATCAAATAATGAATCACACAACGCAGACGATGGTGGGCTCCTTCCTTAAGTACAGATTGAATTCCACGGGATGTTCTGGCCTTGCAATGCTTGCAACCGCTTCTTTTCAATAACTGAATCACTACTCCAGGCTATGTGCAGATCCGACTGATACATGCACGCCTCAGAATCAATAAGGCTTACTCGTTTGGCCTCAGCATCGACTCAAAGGAAACCGAAGTTGTAACGATCCGAGGCCATACCAAACCGTGCCTCAACGACGGGCATCTTCCCGCAGTTGTGCGCATTAGTATGCGCTTATGAACGAGCAATTATGCCCAAGCCATCAGCTCAGCCTTTGCTCGGACCTCCGCAGACAGCCATGCCAAATAATGTGGCCGAGTTCAGCGCAACCTTGTGGAGGATTGCGAAGTGTGTCCTGGATTCCACTTTGACGCTGCTGTGCGCTGGCTTGTTGCTGGCTGCACTGTGCGTGCCGTGGCGGCTGCCGTTCGCAGTCCTCAGCTCGCGAAGGGAGACTTTCAATAAGCTGGAAGACTTTCAGGCTTTCGCTGCCTCGCAGTTGCTTGGAGATAAAGACTTCAGATTTCTGGCCGAATCCTGGTCTTAAAACCTTCCTGCGCACCAAACTGGAGCTCAAGAGCGACCAAGGTTCCTTCTCTCCATGCTGGACCTACTGGTTCTGGCAAGTGTTCTGCCATCGTTGGTTTGGCCGCTGCGCTGGTGCCGGAGCTGTGTGTTGATCAAAGAGTCTTTGTGCGGTTCTGCTGATCGTACGTCATGCCGCCATGAATATTGCATGCAGCTCAGAGGGGACTTATTTCTGAACGCTGTTTCCAGCTATGCGGATTTGATAGTGTTGCCTGTGGTGTGCGTTGCACTCGTGGCTTTTTGGCGATGGACTCCAATCCACACGAAGAGCTTGAAAGTGGCTTTGCAGGAAGACACTTGGTGCGAGCGGCTGTCTTCAGCTCGGAACTGGGCGGCATGGACAGGTTTGAACGCGATCCTGGACTTGCCCTTTGTCATCATGGGTCTGGCATCGGTTGCAGTGCCCTCACGCATCGCAGCTTTCTGGTCAGTGCTGGTCACCAGAGATGGGTTCGAGGATCGTGAGGACGATTGCGAAGCCCGGCTTTGCTTGTTCGTGCTTCCTTTCCTATCTCTCACCGATGTCGTGGCAGCACTTCTGGCCGTGGTTGGCGTGATCAACCCATTGCGGAGTGCACAGGCGGTGCGACTATTGTCGAGTTGCTGCCATGCTGAGAACAGTTCGTTCCTAGGCCTGTCTTTGCAGTTTCAGAAGGCCGTGCAGTGGAATTCGCGGTTGCGCCAGAGGGCGCTGCTGATTGGCCTGTGTTCCCTGATGGACGTCTTCGTCCTGCCGTTCAGTCTTTCGGTCTGTGCAACGGTGTACAGAGCTGGTCCGCTGATTGTGCAACTATGGCCTTCTACCAGCCCGGCAACTGTTGCTTCGCAGTCTCCAGGAGGGGAGGGAAGCGCCAGGGCCGATCGCTTTTAGGAATTTGCTGGCAAACCGTGCAGGCATGCCATCTTTGACAGATCCTTCCCTTGGAACGGGAGACATGGCGAGACTCGCAGACGACTTGCCCTTCTCGGCGCTTCTCGTAATGAAGAGATTTTGCGACGGGTTTTGCCTTCTTCAGTCCTTGAAGCCTAGACTTGCTGAGCTGAGGCTTCACAGGGTTGCTTTCCGGCAGTTCGGGCTGATTCTACTGGACCTCCTGACCTTGCCCAGCAGCCTGCTGGTTCTGCTGACGTGGTACAGGTTCACGCTACCTGTCAAAATCCAGAACGCGGGGCCCGATTCGACCCCAAAAAGCTCACAGCCCAGGCACCTCTCGTCGGAGATGCAGAAGGTGCGGCGACGCTACCCGGCTGCCTCTCCGGTGGCCTACCATGCCGCTGTGCTGGCCAACTCTTGTGTTGTCCTGCATGATGCTGGGCTGACAGTTAGATGGGCTGATAGGGTCATGGAAATAGAAGCCGTAGCCGAAAAAGGGAGTGCCCGAACCACAGGACGTGGTTCTCTCCGTCTGCAGCCTCAGCCTGGTCTTGACCGTCTACAGGATCCGCGCAGCCACCCGCGCCGTAAGAGCTGAGGAGATGCAAGGGTTATGGAAGCCGTGTCAGCCCTCTTGCCCCACGCAAATCCTTCCGGAGGAGCCGAGGGTGAGGCTCTGGCAAGAGATCGGCAATTTACTGCTGGATCTGCCACTTCTTCCACTGTACCTGGCTCGGTTCAGGTTCAGGAGCGCAGATAATATGAACTTTCGGCTCGAGTGGAAGGACGATGATGCATCACACACATTACTGTACCGCAGCATAAGCTACCCAACAGTTTCCGATGGACTGACTCACCCAACAAAGGTACATGTTTCTCCTCGTCACCCTCTGGAGAGCGGACCTCGTCACCCAGAAAATGTTTAAGGCAGAGAACAATCGTGACCGGAGGCACGTACCCGAACATGTGGCTTCTTCCTGTTCCAGAAAGGTTTATCAGCACCTGCTCTAATGCTCTAACAAGGCATCGTCGCTACAGTCATGGCTTCACATTGTCGCACTGCTTTCCCATTGCGGTCGTTGTCTCCTGCGAATAAGATGTTAGATATTTCAATGAGAGCCGCCGTACGTGCTCGCACGCAGTCTACTCCTAGTGTTCTTGTTTCTCTGATCACTCCGACCATTCTTGCCACGATTTCTCTGCAGAGTGCAGATGACACTTATTGCCAGTTATGTCTATATCTGCACCTCTGAGCACAGCCGTGATCCGCTAGAATCCTGATTGCGGCCAGCATCGACTTGAGATAAAACCACTCGCTTCCAGACTCCTTCAGCATGCTTTTCGAAGCCTTTTTCTTGGTCATTTTTCCCGACACATTGGAGTCCTGAAGTCTGTTCGCAGTAGAAAATTCTGGCAACAAGCTTGCTGCTATGAGAATCGGACTATTGGCCAAAGTGCCACACTAGCACTCGTCAAACCAAGAAGCAACAGAAGAGACAGTCTCATAAACTCGACCCTTCTTGAAGTGCCGGATTTGAGCAGGCTGCTTGATTGGTCGCCTCAAAGGTCCAACCTATTGCTGCATGCCATGTTCGCTGTCACTAAAGGGGTTGGCGCTGCTCGGGAAATGCCAGGAAGCTCGAAGCTGCAACAGGTGCACTCCTTTAGTCATGGGGTTGCATTTATACGCACATACAGGACATCAAGCAGCCTAAACGGTAGGAACAGAGAGAGCCAAATGGCAAGAAGCAAAAAGACATCGTGACCCCGGTCCAGGTCTGCCGTACTGTGGGAGTTCCTGGAGCTTCTGAGGGATTTTCTTGGATGGCTTGCACTGCTGGTCCTTGCGGTGACGCTGGTTCGATTGCCAAAGGTACGTGTCAGAAAAGGGGAGGGGTTGAAGCGTCTAAGCTGTTGTTGCGACAAAATGACAGGTTTTGCTGGACATTTGCGCTCAGCGGGCGCAGCCGGTGGCTGGGCTGCCACGCCTGCAGCTCACACATGTCCGGCTGCGATGTCCCCCTGACCATGCCCCTGATCGCCGGCTTGTGATTCATGCGGAAGGTGGGGATTCCACCGGATGCCTGTCTCAGTTTTGACCCAAGCAACCTCTCACTAATCCGAAAGCGGCCTTGTCCCAATCCCCTGAATCTCCAAAGAGGCCCAAATGCTTAGCAGCGGAGGCCTCCAAGATGCATCTCGTGCCCGATGCGAGATTGGCAGCATCCGCATCAACGTGGGCCTTCCCTGAACTTAAACATGCGAGCCCCTAACCCGTTGACCCTCAATGTGCAACAGACAGATGTGTTTTCAGCAATGAAGTTGCACCGGAGACGGATAGTGTCAAGTTGAGAACTTAAAGCACTCTCGGCGGACTGGCTCGGAGCGGAATCTCCTGAAGTCTTGAGTTCCAGAATGACCCCCTTCAGGTGATCTCCAGCAGGTTTTGGGAGGAGATTGGCCGCCTCCTCGGGTCAGGCGCCGCCACGTTGTCTCGTGGTCACGGGCGCAAATGTTTAGATTTCAGTAGAAGTGCTCTTGTTCAGTTTGGGACGGATTAGAGAGGTCTTCGCAAAGAATGAGCAGAGACGAGGTCCTGCGTACGGACTTCATACCGTGTAGCAGGTAGCGAGGTGTTTGCGTGTTGTTTGTCTTGGCCAGGCTTTCAGGAACCCGTCTCCTCTCTTCTTGTGCATCTTCATTTGCCTTGCTTCCTACAGCGTCTACCTCAAGCGTTGTTATTGCTTGCGTCAAAGCGAGCTGCAGGTCCTGTGACTAGGTTGGGCAGGCATCCCAAGGGCTTGAGTAGCACGGGCTAGGGCCCCTGGGCGCCATTCGGAATTGGATGTGATTAGATTTGATTCGGGGCCTCCATGCAAAGTTTCTCTCTCGCCACATGTTTCTTGTTTTAATCACATCGTAGTACGAGATGGATTTACACCCTCGGCATGAAGGTGTTGCGAGCCTGGGAAGGGCGCTGCTCCCCTACACCCTCGTGCCTGGGCTGTTTTGAGCCATGCCACAGATGGGCCAGAGATGCTTGAAAGCCGAAGCACAAAGCTCAAGGTGGACGGCAAGCACATGGATTACGGTGGCTTCCTTCCAGCTTCTGCTTCCATCGCATCCTGACCATGGTTCCGGAGTTCGCTTAAAGGGTTTTGTTCGACACTCCACAGGGTTTTGGAGCTTCGTGTCTCGATGTTTAAAGTCGTAGCATCACGGCTCTCAATAGAAGAACTCAACTATTGCTTCGAATCCGCGAAGTGAAGTCCTTGAGTAGCAAGGGCTTCCCTGCAAGCTGCAGAGTTGTCTTTGGCAGTAGTGCTGGAACCCAAGGAGCTGCGCCTGGGCGGGAAGGACATGAAGTCCAAGCTGCTGCAGCTGGATGAGATTCTGGGCGGGAACGCAAGCCTCAGGTGACGGCTACCTTGTACGTTCGAAAGCAACTTCTCAGGCTGTGAAACCTTCGCTGCCCCTGAGGAACATGGCCATGTGCGTGCAGATCGAGCACAAGGATCCCCAGGGAGCAGTGGAGGCACTCGGTTGATGGTGAAATCCTTTAACTTGGGATTTTCCTTGAGGCAGTAAGATCAGGGGAACCCTTTCGGAACCCTTGGGTATTCCTCAAGGTCCATCTGGCCAGTGTTTCCACAGCCTGCCCCCAGGTACTCGCACGGCTGCCCATTCCGATGTTGCCCTTGCAGCAAGCGGTTCGGAGTCCAGGCCTAGCCCCTCCCTCCCCAAACCCTTCAAGCCCCTAAACCTTAAACCCTAAACCCTGAACCCTAAACCCTAAACCCCAAACCCTTTAAGCCCCTAAACCTTAGACCCAAACTCCCCGAAGAGCCCGGAAGCTGCAAGGCGACGCTGTAGAAGTCGACGAAGCTCTGCTCACGGCCTCGCCAGAAGACGTGCCGGAAGCTGCAACTGGACCGTCCGTTTTTACAAGCCTACGGAGCCCGCGGAGCGACGGTGAGAGCTGAGACTGAGGTCTGTGGGCCTTTGCTGGCTGGGGCAGGCCTCCCCTGCGCCTTGCAAGCTTTGAGTGACGAGGCTTTTGAGCCCTGGCAGGCATCCGGAATGCCCTCTGGCTGTGTGCGTTGCGCGAGCTCTGGCAGCTGTGCCTGGACATTGTGCACTTGCTGCTCTTCGCTTTCCTTGCGTTGGACCCATGGCATCGTGAATGAGATGCTGAGTAGAGTCTGTGGGTCTTAAAATTTGCAGGGCTCCTGGGTCTGATCACTTCACGGAGGCCCCAGATTGAGCCTCCAAGACAGCAGCGCTTTTTGGAGGCCCCGTGGCGCCTTCTGGCCTGCGCCTACTACGCCTGCGCCCACTCGGCAGTCTGGCTCGCGGTGCTTACCGAGCAGGCCATTGTGAGTCTTCCTTTGGGGCTGGGCACCGACGGGTAAGAGTGGGGAGAGAAGCACAAGCTCTCGGGTCCAAGCTGACTCAGTGAACAGCCTTCGGGGTTCTGGACTCTGGTGGGGTTGCAGCGGTCGCAGTATAAACTTCCGCAAGATTCGTGCCCAGGGCTTCTCATTCGAATCGATCCCCGAGAAATGGACCCAACAGGCTGTCAGCCTCATGCGACTGAAGCGGGCCATGCTCGGCCTGTATCGGGGAGGCCGAGGGGCCACTACGCTTCGGAGATGTGGGGTTTCGCGAACATGAGAGAACAGAGAACCCATATTGAAAGTATTGGGCACTTGCTGCAGCATGTTGACAAACGCCGAAGAGCGCTCAAATTGCTCGATCTCGGTTCAGCTAGCCTGCAAGCCGCAAGACTGATTTGTGAAGCCCCGGACCACGGCCATGTCCGAAGAAGGTCAGATGCTCCCAATTGCCCAGACCCGACCGGAGCCCGACGCTGTCGCTACTATAAACACTACAGCCTACATCCTAAAGCCAAGAACCCCTAACAGCCCCAGAAACCCTCAAAGCCTCAAAAACCTTTGCCCCAAACCATGACATTTTGGCAGCTCTCTGGCGCAGGTTTGGAGCCCGCTTTGAACTCCGCCGCCAAGGATCCGTCTCGGCGAACCCATGCGAAGCTTTGCGAGGCCGGGAGCGAGAAGTCAGAGCACTCCTCTGTGATAGAAGGACTGCAGCAACGAAACAGCTACTACCACTACCACTACCACTA